CCCCCCTGCCGGGCGCTCAGACCCCTCCGGATCTGGCCCCACCGCGGCCGTCCAATCCCGGCCGTCGCCATCGCCTGCGAGAGTGCGGGCGCCAATCAGCGCGGTCTCCATGCGGCTTCGTGCGCGCGAACGCATCCACCTCTGCGCCCACCCGCGCCCTGTGCACCGCCCCCCACACGAGCGCATCCTCCCCCACCACCCGTGCACCTCTCCGCCGCCCTCCATAGGAGCGCATCCTCCACGCCCAGACCCACGCACCTCTCCGCCAACCTCCCCACGAGCGCATCCTTCTCACCCCCTACCCGTGCCCCCCAGCACAAGTGCGCCCTCCCTCTAGCCCCCACCCGTGCACCTCTTCGCTGTGTTCCACTCGAGCTCATCTTCCATGAGCCCCGCTCGTGTCCTCTCTACTCACTCTCCGCACGAGTGCATCCACTCTCCTTCACCGTGACCGTGTCCCTCTTCACCTGCCGGGCTCCAGGTATCCAGTCCTACGTGCCTCCACCAGGCCCCTCGCGTAGCTTCCCCTTTACGTGTACTACGCCTACCAGCCCAGGCTCTGTGAACAGGTCGCGTTGCAGCTTGCCAGCCCACCTCTGAAGGAGACGGGTGTAATTCAACAGGGAAGCTCAAGACACCCGGCAAGGTGCCAGTTACAACCAGGACACTGATACTGCCGTGCACGCCCCCATTCATTCCCCCGTAAAAGTATGACAACCTGCCACCAACGACCCTATTCCCTTCAGGAGCAGAATTGGCCTTTCTAGATGGAGCTGGTTTGCAGGCCGGACTGCTTGGCATTGAAGAGGACAGCCAAGGCCTCTTGAACAGGATGAACAGCTGCCCAGCCACTCTGACTGGCTTCTACTTCCCTGACTGTCTCCGTCAGGCTTCTACCTGTCTGCTTTTCTGGCTGCTCTCTTGCTGTGCGTGGACTTTGAGCTGGGAAGTTCTGCCACCCTTCAGATTCCTAGGGAATGGTGAGTCTGATGGGCTTGAGTTGCCTGGACTTTCATGTCCCATTCAGTTCCCTGCCATGGACCCCTGTGTTCTGGGGCCTGGTTCACGGAATCACTCTGAATGCTTGCACTTCAGCAGGTGGAGGCTGAGGAGGGACCACCATGTATGAACACAGCTGCTTCATGAGGATCCAGGCCTTTTAGATTCCATGTGCTCCAGATCCCCACTACATCGATATCGTGCACCCCAATGAGCTCCCTTTTTTATAACCCAAGGTCACGATTAGCTTGGCCACTTTAGAAAACTATGTCTGTTACTAAAATTCAAATTGCATATTGCCTTGGTGTCCTATGGGAAGATTATTTTTTCTGGACCTAATTAATAGACATGGTGTACAGTAGACGTAAACTTTGAATTAGAATCAAAATAGCTAATACTTGTGGAACACAGTCAAAGCTTTAGGCTAGCACCTTCCATACATTATCAGTTATTCTTTCACAAAATTGTGTGATTTAGATCCTATTATTATTCCTGTTTTACAGATGAAATAGAAATTTAGAGTGGCTAAATAGGTACCGGGTTACCAAATGTGAGATGAAGGATTTGAATCCTGGAAGTTTAATTCCGCTGCCTGCAATGTTACACAGAAAAGGTACACAGAAAAGTCTTGAATGTAAGCTCTGTGTCCATGGGGAAGATGGAGGAAGTAAAGAGGTGGAAAAGTAGCCAAGTGCCCCAAGCGCTAATATTTTATCTTGCAAAGAGAGAGTGATGGCTTCACATTGTCACATGAGGGAGGGGAACACTCACTGAAGGAGTGACTGAGATCTGCTAAAGGCCTTAAGAAAAAGAAGGTGAGAACCAAGATGTCTTTTAAAAAGTTTGCAGCTGGGTGTCACACAGGCTGGCTTCCCAAGTGCAACTTTTGTTGAGTGTTTAATAAATTCTGTAAAAGAGCCACCTTGCCCCAGCAGCCACTAGAGGGCTCGGCAGAGCTGCAACCCGAGCTGCCCTCTAGCGTTGGTGTTGCCTGGGACCCTGTTGGGCCTTCTTAGGGCCCACCTGTAATGAGAGGGCTTCACATGGTATCACACTGAAGAGACTTTATTGCCAGAATGAGACTTCCTTTCAGGAAGGGGAGGGTCAACCCCTGCTACTCACTTAACACTTGAGAGTAGAGTGAGTGCTTTAGTATAGTCTCAGCACTCTGCGAGGCCGAGGCAGGAAGATCTCAAGTTCTAGGCCAGCCTGAGCAGTTTAGCCAGACCCTGTCTCAAAATAAGAGCTGGAAAGCATAGCTCAGTGGGGAGTGCTTGCCTAGCATGTATGAGACCCTGCGTTCAATCTCCTGTACCATAGGGAGGAAAAGCCACTAAGAAGCTGGGCGGGGGGTGGGGGGTGTTGCGGTCAATGAAGTTATCAAAAGTTACAGTTAAAAATTCAAACTAAACCCAGAGTGCCTGAGTAAAGGCCAGAGTGCAGCACCATGCTGGTCCCCTCTAGGAAGGAAGGCCTGTACTAAGAACCCTTAAGGACTTAAAACTGACATAGCTCATTTTTTTCAGTTTCAGTTTGACTGAGTGGGAATAAATATAAAACACTAGAGTAAAATTGAATTCTTAATAAGCTTCTGCTAACATTTGAGAAATGCTGAATTTGTCCTCCTATGAGAGGTGGAACTGTGGAAAATTCTGAGGAATACTGATATAGTTGGGAAGGAAAACTCTAGGCTTAGAGTACAAGATCTAGGAATTCAAATCTTCTGTTTTCATCTCTGTAAAAATGAAAATAATGCTGGAAGGGGTGGTGCACACCTGTAATCCTAGCACTCAGGAGGCTGAGGCAGGAGGATTGCTGCAAGTTCAAGGCCAGCCTGGGCTACATAGTAAATTCAAGGCCAGCCTAAACTACATGGCAAGACCTTGTCTCAAAAAAAAATAATAATAATAATAATGAAAATAATGACTAACCCCATCAGGTTTTATATGGAACTACACATAAGACGATATGTAAAGCACAGAAGAAGGGAAACTATGAGATTGATTGTAAATACTTAAAGGTAATGACTATGTTTCATTTATTCTAGTAGTTCTAAGTAAGACATCATTCCTGACTTCTAGATGTTTAATACATATATTTGTAATTCAGTGGCTACCTACCCTTAATTTTTTTCACCTAGTAAAAATACTGTCTTGCTCTCTTATGTCAGTAAATCCTATCTTCTTTATGAAACTAAACTGTTTTTACTTTCCAGACTGTAGCATGCACACTTATCATATAGAGTATTCACTATGCCTAATACATGATAGTATCAGACACAGAAAATATAAATAAGTAAGACCTAAGACCTATCCTCACCTCAAAGTAGTTCATATTCTGTGGAGAAGAAAGTCATACTAACATATACTAATTAGATGAGATGATGAGTTCTGAAATACAATCATGTCCACTAGTGCTGTGTCGATATGATGAAGAGATCGGTCTATTCAGGGTAGAAGTACTGTTTTCTTGGGTAGTATTTGAACTGGGCCTCCAGGAAGGAGTAGGTCCGTAGGTAGAGCTTGGGGGAGGATTTCAAGACAGAGGGCTACAGGAGCACTGGCAAGAAGCTGTAAAAAGGCACCACTTGATGAGCAAGTAACCCATAGCCCTGTGTTAGCCCTGCAGCCACACACTTAATGGAGTACAGAGGTGGGGAAGCAGCTGTCATTTGTATGAAATGCAGTATTACTTGTAGAGTAGTACCTTGGGTTGTGAACTTAACCCATTCCATGATTCTGGAAAAGACGGCCACTTTCATTTTCATGAAGGAAAGATGGCCATGGTTGTACTTGTCACCAGAGGCAGAGTTTGCAGAGAAAAGCATTCATGAACCAAGGTACCACTGTACTGTAGTTGTTCTATCAAAAGAAGATGAACCCTAAGGGAAATTTCATCACTGGTAAATATTGGTTAAGTGCCAAAAGTGTACGTTTCATTATCACACATTGCCGTGGTTTATATAGAAAAGGTAAGGTTTTACCCTCTTTTTCTTTTCTCCCCCTTAAGGATAAAAACCTCCTCTTTCCCTCTATTCATTATTTTTTTCTGCCTTCTCACATTACAAATGTTTTCCTCCAGGAGTTGAAAATAAGACATGGAGTCCCTTACATATGTAATTTAAGAGAACAAGTAAAGAGCCTTCCACCCTCCAAAAATCTTACATACCAGAAAGTAATGGTTAATTTCTTTGGGTTAAACTTTTGTCTTTCAAAAAGCAAATAGTGCTGGGCATGGTGGTGCATACCTGTAATCCCAGCACTTGGGAGGCTGAGGCAGGAGGATCACTGTGAGTTCAAGGCCAACCTGAACTCCATAGTGAGTTTGAGGCCAGCCCGGACTACAACGTGAGACCCTATCTAAAAAAAATTTTTAAAACAAAGGCAAGCAGTCCTAGGAGGGCTGAAATATTAAGTGCCAATGTTGAGTTTTCAGTCTTTAATAGGTTTAGGAGAGGGTTACAGTAGAGAGAAGTTAAGGAGTTTTTAGGATCCCTCTCATGTTTTTCTCTCTGTCTCCCTCCCTCCCTCCTTTTATATATATACAGAGTCTGCCAAAAAATGTATACATCCAGAAAAGAAAAGCTTGTATAAATTTATGGAGACATCATGGGATTTATACAAGTTACTCTTGGCCCCTACAATTACAAGAGGTGCTCAAAGTGGTGGCCATTAGATTCCAGACATTTATTAATACGGTTAATTGCTGAAGTGTGCATCATTTTTTGGATGGACTCGAATAAATATATAATATATATATTCTGCCTATATATGCATACATGTAACATATAAATGTAACATATCTGTATATATTATGTGTATTTGTATGTTATATGTACATATGTATATATGTTTTATATATTTATAAGATACACAATAGGTACTTAAATGTGCCTTAAAATGAACTGAAGAAGGATAGTTTGTGGATTGTTAGTTAAGCTTCATGGGTTTGGACCACACTGGCACTGACTTCATCATTGTGGGATTGCCCAGGAGGAGCTCCTTTATTATATAAAGGAATTAGTGTACATAATTGTAGGCACTGGCCTGTCTGAAATCTATAGGGCAGGCCAAGCCAGAAACCCTTGGGTAAGAGTAGATGCTGCAATCCACAGATGGAATTTGTTTTTCCTCAGGAAGAATGTCAGTTTCAGTTTTAAGACCTTGCTCTTGACTGGATAAGATCTACCCAGATTATTCAGGAGAACCCCCTTTCCTTAAAGGTAACTGCCTCTACATATACCTGCAGAGAGATATTTAGGCTAAGGTATAATGGAATAACTTGACATATGTCAACCCTGCTAGGTCCAGTAACTGTCCAGTTAGCAGTAACCCTGCTAGGTCCAGTAACTGTCCAGTAACTGGTTGATGTTAGCATAATTTTTTGTTTTTTCCATTCGTAGTGCCTCTAGCTGAATGTGTAGCATCATTCTCTTGAATGGGCCAAGCCTCAGCTTATCTGCTATATAAAGGTGGGTATATTGATGTAATCATCCATCTTTGTCTTTATAATCCTGGCTCCCTGGTTAGAACAGGGCTTAGCATCTGATACCAAGGCAGCCAGTCTCCTGGCTAGCCAGTGGCCTCGGAAATGGCTAAATAGAAGAGCTTTGCTTGAGGAAGGGGTTAGCAATTAATTAGCAACTTAGATTCTTTCTTAGAGAATATGAATGTAATAAATGGAGAGGGTTAGGCACTTAACAGCAAAAAACAGTAGTTGAACAACATACAACGGAAAGCAGACCTTAGAAGCCATTAGACAACAGGAACTGGTAGAGGCAATGAGTAAGCAGGAACTGTGAGAAGACAAGCTGAAAGAGTAAAGATAAGATAATTGCTTGGTAATGATAGATGCTACAAGCCCAGGAATTGATAGGAACTGAGTAATTTTCAGATGGAGCATGAGAATGAGGGGGCATAATTGGGGAGGAACAGGGCATGAGAGCACCAGTCAACCTGGGGGAACTCCAGGGTCTATCTAGAAACCTAGGAACATGAGAATAAGTGACCTCATAGACACTCAAAGAGACAGAGAATAACAGCTGTTACGTATCAGTGCCCTTTTGGCAAGTGATTTGACTTCTCAGATCTCTGAAACAGGCTTCCATTACTCCCTTAGTTTGGGTGAATCTCTCTTCCCTTAAAAAAACTTATGGTCCTCATCATCTGAATGGTTTACTTATGTCAAGAAGTACATTTTCTCAAAAGTCTTTATCAATGGGAAGATCCACCCAGGTTGGATTAGACCTTGATGGAGACCACTACGAAACAGGCCTGAGCAGGACTTAAATTAACCAATTGGCTTTTCATGTTTACTTGTGAGTCTGTCCAAAGCCTAGGCTCCTTGTCTGGAGATGGGTAGTGGACTCATAATAAGTGAACCTTTGTGAGTCACTGATCCCTACTAAGGCCTGTAATGGCAGATGAAGCAGGAAAGCCTCAAAGGATAAGATAAGATTAGGGCCACGAATATAGGTCAGTGACAGAAGCGCCTGCCTGGCAAGTGCAACGTCCTGAGTTAGATTCCTGGTTAAAAAAAAAAAAAAAAAGACAAGGTCACAGCCAAGGACACCTAGATCCAACCTCAACTAAATAAAGACTGTAGCCTCAGGCATCTCACTCCTGGATGGATTAATTTAATACCTTACTTGGAGAAGTCTTTGAGTGGTTCCACCCTTTTTGAGTACTCTCTTCCCTTCCTCTGATAACTAAGTAAATAGGGGTCACTGAGGGAAGGTCCCCAGAGAATCTCGAATTCTGTGAGAGGGTTTTAATCCTCCTTTAGCCCTGAAATCATTCCATTTGCCTCTTTTTATTTAGCCTTCATCATACACTCATTTGGGAGATTGCCGACCTGATCATCCTGCAGTAACTGAGGGATATTATAAACCTGGTAAGACCTGTCCTTTCTCCTTATGTTGTAGACACTATACCACTGTATAGTATGTACCACTGTATATAGTATGTACACTGTATATATAATATATACCACTGTATGATCATTGTAGGCCCGTGTATTTGTTTCTTGTGTCTACCTCTGCTGTCTCTGGAGCCCAGAACTGCATGATGTCAGGAAGTATGTTTTTATTCTTCACTGTATCTGCAACATATAGTCTCTATCATAAAGTAACCAAACAATAGATGTTTGTCTAATTGAGTTAGTGAATCTGAAAAAAACTTATCTAGTTCAAGAAATAAAAGCAGAATGTTAGAAAAAGCTGAGTGGACTAATAAGAAAGTCCAGTAACACATTCATAATAGTGTAGGAGCTGAAAACTTAGTTAATTCAGACTCAGAATTCACACCTACCCAACTTCCCACCAGCCAGTTTTATCTGTTCAGTGTGGTATCTGGTGCCATAAGACTCCAGGGTTAAAGGCACTCTAGCCAGCCCTGGTCCTTTTAAGAGAAGAGCTGGTTTCATTCTCCCTTTAACCTCCAGTTCCTCTTCTAGATTCAGACCCACAGCCTTGGGTGGGCCAGGCTGAGGCTTACTGTCAGGGAGGTTGCCTGGTATCAGAGGTTAGCTTTTGGGTCCAGTCCCATCCCTCCTTTTGCCATTTCCCTGACCTCAGGCAAGTTCTTTGCCTCACTGAGCCTCTGTTTTCTAACTGGTGAAAGAAAACATAATAATTTCCACACATTGTTGTACTGAGGAGTCAATGCAAATCATTTGTGAAAATGCTCAGAACAGTGCTGTACACGTGGTAAGATTCAAATCATGTGCAGTTTCCTTCCTTTTTACTTCTGGGGAACTGGAAACAAACAGGATGATGGTAGAGAACAAGGGCAACAAACACTGATAAAGTACAGGTCATTTTCACCAAAAGCCATATAGCACCCAAGCTAGCTGCTGCAGAAGAGTTCCTTTTTTTTTTTTTTATTTTCTCACTGCAGTTAGTAATTAGCAATTTGTTGTTTTCCATATTCTTGAAAACGCCCATTCCTTCCAGGAATTCTACACCCTCCCTTTCCTTGTGAAGCCCAGTCAGAATTTTTTTCTTTTTTTTTTTTTTTTTGGCTTTTTGATACAGGGTCTCCCTGTGCAGTTCAGGCTGGCCTTGAGCTCACTATGTAGCCCAGGCCAGGTTTGAACTCACAGCAATCCTCCTGCCTCAACCTCCAAAGTTCTGGGATTACAGGTGTGCACCACCATGCCTGGCTTCAGGAGAGTTCTTGATCAGCATGGAAGGACATTGGGATCCTCTTGATTTGAAACTGGGGTACAGCAGGTGAAAAGATAGCCAACCCTGATTGCAAGAAAGAAAATGTTGCCTACATGAAGCAGAGGATTCAACAAATGCCATCTCAGAGAGTTCTGGGAGATTGCTGAGGTATCTGACAGTAAACCCTTTCAAATATCACCCCTGGCACTGAAAAAGCAGGAGGGTTCCTAATCAATTGGGAAGTCTCAAAGATTATTTATATGAATTTTAAACTCATATCCACCCTAACATCTCCCAAAGAAGATGAGTCCAGCTGCTGTTTTGAGGCACTTAAAAGCTTAGATGGAGAGGGTGTCCGAAGTCTATGTTTTCTAGCCATTTGAAGAAGGGTTTCCCTGCACAGTATTAAAAACTATAGGCTTAGGGATGTAGACTGCTTCTGTAGCATGTGCTTATTCCTGAGTTTGATCTCTAGCACTGCTCAAAACAAAACAAAACAAAAAGTAAAAACCAAACAAATTGTTAAAGCTATTTTCTGAATCCAAGAAGGATGAACATACAATGCTCAAGAATTAGTGGAGAAGCTAGTTAACTCATAGTTGTCTATATATGGCATATCTATAAAAGTAACAATGTAAAATTAAAATTTAGTTTATGCAGTGGCAGGCTTTTTCTGTGAAAGGCCAGCAGTCTGGTTTTGTTGTCCACACAACCTTCTGTCAAAACTACTCCATGCCACAGTCGTATGAAAACAGCCAAACATAAAAAGCGAAATCCTTAGGTGAGGTTTCATAAACTGAAATCAGAGTAAGTAAAAGTCAAGCAACAACTTGACAAATCAGAATATCAAAACAAAGGGACTATATTAATGACAGTCATGATTTATATGGAAAGAATACCTATAGCAAATAATTTTTTTTTGGAACCAGAAATTGAGCTCAGGACTTCATGCTTACCAGGCAGGTGCTGTGCCGCTGAACTACATCCCCAGACCACCTAGAGCAAATAAAAAGTAAACTAAGAGCAGATCTTTTGAAATCAACAACAGAAAAATGGTGAAATTAAGGACTCTATTTTCTGACTTTAAATAAATTTGATTATGTTGTTGTTTACTCAAATGAAATATCCTTCCAAGCTTAGGAGACTTCCAAGGTAAAAGAGGAGAGCATAATTAAAATAATGTATTTAAGCCGACTGAAATTGAAAGCAAGACAAAGAATAACATACAGGATTTTGTGGAAAATGGTGAATGCATTTAATTCAAAATAAAACATTGAATATAAAATTGTGATAGTAACCATTAGAAGAGCAAAATATGGGCCAGGGATATAGCTCAGTGGCACAGCTCCTGCCTGGCAAACACAAGGTCCTGAGTTTGATTCCCAGTACCAAAAAAGAAAAAAAGAGCAGAACATGTGTATAAGTCACAATCTAGTAGGTAATCAAAATAAAATTTAAATATGAAATACATATTTCATTAAATATATTATAAAATAAAATATTCTAGATTGGATTTAATAATATAATTGTACAAGACATCTCTGAGTCATAAAGTAATATGCAGGCTGAACACAAAAGTATGAAAAAATATGCAAAACAAATAGCAAGCAGTAATTAGCTAGTGTAGTCATACATTTATCTGGCCAAAAAAAATTCATCTCTAAGGCAACACAGAAGAAAAGCATGGAAGACTATTGAAAGAAATGAGAAAGTGTGCTGAGATATAGGGAGACTTTTTTTAACACGAGTGATAGTGTAAATATGCTGATAAACTGAAAGCCTTGAAGAGATAAGCAATTTTGTAGAAAAACAAAATGGAAATATTGAAATGCTCAAGACTTTAAACATTGTGTGTATTTTATTGTATTTTATTTTATTTTTTGGTTTTTTTTTTTTTTTCCAGTACCTGGAATTGAACTCACGACCTTGCGCTTGCCAGGCAGGAGCTGTGCTGCTGAGCTAAATCCCCAGCCCCATTGTGTGTATTTTAAAAGTCTCTCTCAGAAAATACAAAAACAAAACTAAGAAAGCATAAACTAAATAGTTTCACAAATAAATACAAGTAAAAATTCAAGGAAGATATAATTATGATCATATAAAAACTCTTCCATGGAAAAGAAAAAGAGACAGCACTGCCCAACACATGATATAAAAGCAATAACTTTGATACCAAAAACAAGCAAGGGCAAATAGGAAAGAAAATTTCGGGCCAGCTTTACTCATGAACATAACTGGAAAACAAAAATATATAATGTTAGAATAATATAAAAAAATATTTCAAAATGGCAAATGACAAAGTACAACTTATATCAAAATTGGTAAAATATTGAATATTGCCAAATCTATGAAATGAACTACTTTGTGATGTTATAGATGGAAATAAGTGTACACCTAGCAATAGAAACTGAGAAATCATTGGTTAAACTTTAACACTTTATACGTTTTTTAAAAAAGCAATCTCATCAACAGACTATTACTTGACTTTGTTAACCCTAAATAAATGACCTTCCACAAAGCTATCACTTAGTAGTAATGTATAAGGTGGATTTCTTTGACAATTATGAAGGAAGGAAAGGTGATCATTACCACCTTTTCTATTCAGCATTACACTGAACATGCTAAACTGGAGTGAGATGAAAAGAAAGAATAAAATACTGAAATGGGGGAATAGATCAAAATGAAGAGAAAAGGAGCAGTGCATATCTACACATACCCACACACAGTACATACTATATATGATCTAATCTTCATAATAAATTTGTGATGTCTCATAAGAAAATATGGTATATAGTTAAGAAATGATTTGAAGTCTATCATGCAAAATGGATACTCAAAAAAGAGAGATTAAGTGAATACAGAGGTTTAAAGACTGAGTTGATGAGGTTTTTCTGTTTTACATTTTCTATATCTGCATACATATTAGATAGAGTAGTGGGTTTCACTGTGAGAATTTTACATATGCGTATTTAACCTCAGTCACCCTCCCCTCCCCGGTCCCTTTCCTCTTCTTCAGTAACCTCCCTTCTACTTTCAAGTCATTGTCCTTCCTCCAGATTCTTCATAGGAGAGAAAATATGAGCTTCTTGTCTTTCTGAGTCTGGCTTATCTCACTTAACATGATGATCTCCAGTTTTATCCATTTTTCTACAAAATATATCGTTTTTTATGGTGGAATAATATTGCATTGTGTATAATATGTATCACTTTTTCTTTTTCCATTCAGCTGTTGATGGACACCTAGATGATTCTATAATTATGCTATTGTGAGTAGTGCCTGGATAAACATGGTTATGTAGGTATGTCTGTGATGTGCTAACTTGGATTCCTTCGGGAATATATCCAAAGTGATAGGTGGATCACATGGCCATTTTTCATTTCATTGTGGAGGTGATTTTAGTTTTTGAGGAAACTCTGTACTGATTTCTGTAGTGGCTGTACTAAATTACATTCCCATCAACAGTGCAGAAGGATTCTTTCTTTCCCAGCATCCTCACCAATATTTATTTTTTGTGTGTTCTTACTGATAGCCACCCTGACTATCTGAAGCCACTGAAGAAATGTCGGTGTAGTTCTTATTTGCATTTCCCTAATGGCCAAAGATATTGAACATTATTCATATAGTTATTGACCACTTGAACTTTGAGTGTCTGTTCTGGTCATATGCCTAATTATTGCTTGGATTTTTTTAGTACTGGGAGTTGAACTCAGAGACTTTGCACTGACCTACATAACCAGCTCTTTTATGTTTTTTATTTTGAGGCAGTGTCTCACCAAGTTCCTGTGTTGCTTAAACTGGGTTAAATTTGTGATCCTCCTGCCTCAGCCTCTGCAAGTGCTGAGATCACAGGTGTCAGCACCATGCCCAGTGAACTAGTTATTCCTTTTGTGTAGGTTGAGGATCTTTTAGAATGTATTTTGGAATTTTTTTGTTTTATAAGTACACATTTTCTTTTTTTACTTTTATCAGTACATTTGTAGTACATAATGATTACATTCACTGTAGGTGATTGTTACATGTACATAACCCTCTGTTGAAAGAGTAGCTGGCCAATGTTTTTACTGTTCTGTAGTGTGTCTCTTCATTCTGTTGTTTCCCTTGTGATACAAAAACGTTTCAGTTTGATGCAATCTCATTTGTTGATTCCGACTTCTACTCTTTTTTGCATTCTCTATCAACATTTACTCTTTGGAGCTCTTCTGTGTGGAAGATTTGTTTTTCATTCTCTCCCTCCTTCCTTACCGTCTTTCCTTGCTCGATCATTGTATACTCGGGGTATACTCAAGAATGTTTGCTTCACTCTCTTAGTTACCCACTGCTATCATTATTTATTTTTTGCTTACATTTTTTTCCTTTTGGGCATGAGGGGTTTTTCTATGTACCTCCTTTTGACCTGTTTCATTCTTTTTTTAAGGTAGTACTTATCACTTTCTGGAAGACACTCAAGACTTATACTTTCTGTTACCTGTTTCCTTTTATTGACGATAAACCGGTCTGTATGTATGTCAGTCTTGACACATATCAAAATAGACACAGATTCATACTGTCATTTCCAGCTGCAATCTAGCATGGCAGGGTTAATTCTAGCATTCTCTCCGTGTTTATCTGTAACCTCTTTAAGCTATAGTGTAAGATGGTACTCTGGTTATCTACCATTGGTCTACTAACATGCAGTTTCAGACTCGCTAACCCACACCCTGTGGAAAACATTTGCCAAGTGAAGCACAGTTTTTTTGCACAGTTCTTGTGCTGAGCCAAAAGGCTATTTTCTGAACTTATTTATGTCAGGATCTTTCATCTTCACCCTCTTCAATATGGTTATGTAATATATTTAATACAGTAATTAGGTTCATTTGTCATTGTATGCAGTCCTTTAAGTTCCCCTAAATCCTGGCTGATTTATATTTTAATTTTTGAAGAAGGATATTACTATGTTTTCCTGGCTAGCCTTGAACTCCTGGAGCCAAGAGATCCTCCTGTCTCAGCCTCTTGATTAGGTGGGCCTATAACCATAGGCCGCCTTGCCTGATTATCATAGTTGATATTTAGAAATTTGAATAGAGTCAAATTCACTCTTATTGGTATAGAATTCAATAGGTCTTGACAATTGTAACCCATATTTCCATATAGAACTGTTTCAGTACCCTAAACATGTTCTTATGCTTCTGCTTCAGTTAGTCCTTTTTCATCCTATCTTGTGACAAGCACTGAGCAGTGTCAGAAGCTAAGCTTTTACTTATTCTTTTACAAAATCATGTAAATAGAGCCACAAAATATGCAGGCTTTTGGACCTGACTTTATTCACTTAGGGAAATGCATTAAAGACTCATCCGTGCTATAGTGTGAGTCCGTAATGTATGTTAATTTTTTAGTGTTCAGTGTTTAGGTAGTTGGGTACATCAGTTTTTTCACTCTCCTGTTGAAGGGCATCTAATCTGTTTCCAGCTTCTGTCAATTATGAACAAAGTGGCCATAAATTTTCACCAGTAGGAGTGTGTTGAATCATTAATTTTCACTTTGCTTCAGTTAATACTTATGTGTAGGATATCTGGTTCATATGATAACTGTGTGCACAACATTATAAGAAACAGCTAAACTGTGTTGTCAAAGTCAGTACTGTACCATTTTAAAATCCCAGTATTATTTACTTCAAATACACACTAGTACTGTACTTGGCATTTGCAGATTAGTTTTGGTTTTTGCCTCATTTCTGTGTAATTGGTCGCTCATTGTGCTGATGAATACAGAATTCCACACTGGCATCAATTCCCTCTCTCTACATTTGCTAGATATAACACCACTGTTGATTTGCTTCTATTATTTTTCATGCCATGTTGCATGTTCATATTGTGTTCTCCTGTATAACATGTCGTTCCCCGCTAGGTGCTTTTAAAAATATTTTTGGTTAACTTTGCATTTTAGCAGTTTAACTATCATGTGTCTATATATGTTCTTATTTACATTTGGGGGAGGGTTGTTAACTTTCTGGGTTTAATAAGTAAGATTTTCTACCAATTTGTGGACATTTTTGGCTATTTGTTGTCGATATACTTCTATGTCACATTTCATTTTCTGTCTCTCCTCTCTTCTTCTGGGAACCCAGTCAGCTCATAGACCTCTAAGTCTCTAAGTTCATTAAAAAAAAAACTGTTTCCACACTTTCTTCAGACTGGATACTCTCTATGGTTCTTTCTTTGAAATTCTTTTGTTCCAATCTCTGGCATGCTCGCAATCAACTTTTCTATTTAACTATCTGTTTTGTCCTTTTCGTAACTTGAGTTTGTCTGGAAGATAACCAGAACCCTTGGTCTCCAGAAAGTACCTCCTCCTTCCTGCCCTAGCACTTGCAGACACCTGTCTGCTTGCTCGTATCCTACAGCTCCTTGCTTCAGTGTCCCAAAGTTGTGCCAATGATCCTTCCTGTGCCTCTCCAGCTAAGGGCAGGTTCCATTCTGAGGTACCCTCCAGCTTTCCCCAGGACCACATCTTCCTTTGACTGCCTCCTGGATGGCAGCAGGTAAGGTGGAGAGGCTCACAAGGGGAACTAGGTCTCCTCTTGAACTCCAGATAGCTCCTATGTGGAGGAGAGGAGGGAGAGCCAAAGGTAGGGCACTGCTTCCGTATCCTAAGGCATTAAGTGTCCAGAGATATTTTGAAGTGGTAGTTCCTGAGTTGGACACAGAGGTCCTCAGGGAAGGCTGGCATCATGCGGATCCCTGGTCACATTTGCTACATTTGGAAGTGCCAGGACTAAGAGAGGTTCCATCTGAAGGCAACCTGCAAGCCTTGTCATCCTGGAAGTTCCAACACTGAGGGTCCTTTCTGTAGATTGGGGCAAATACCAGGAGGCACATCCCAGGCCCCAAAGCAGAACTCAGGAGTGAGACCCTGTTGCTGGAGAAGAGGCTGTTCCAAGAGCAGTAGGAAGTGCTGGGATCC